TAGTTACCATAAAAATTACAATCTACATCCTTTACTTTTTGCAGTCCAATTAAAAGGATTACTTTTACCACTTTCTCAATAATGCTAACTTAGAACATTTTAGCTCTGTTTTGCTATCTCCTATTTTTGTTTAATTATTGTCATATATTTTAAGTTTCCTTATATTTAAACTCTTTGAATATTATTGTTTTGTATAGTCAATATTTCTTCACACATTTAACCTTTCTGTTGTGCTTCATTTCTTTCTGCATTTCCATATGCAATCATTTTTCCTCTTTCTGAAAAGCTCCCTTTGGTCATTTTTTATTTTGGGGACAAAGATTTCTATGTTGGTAGTTATTTTCTTTCAGCACTTTAAACATGTTATTCCATTTCTTTAGGCCTTATGTGATTTCTATTGAGAAGTAAGTTGTCATACTTATTGTTTCTCTTTTGAAAGCAATTATTATTATTTGGTCTTTGTATTTTATGTGTCAAGAGTGTGGCTTTCTTTTTTTTTATTTTTATTCATTCAGCATTGCTTTACAATGTTGTGTTAGTTTCTGCTTTACAGCATAGTGAATCAGCTATACGTATACATATATCCCCTCTTTTTTCTATTTCCTTCCCGTTTAGGTCATCATAGAGCATTGAGTAGAGTTTCCTGTGCTATACAGTATGTTCTCAGTTATCTATTTTATACATAGTAGTGTATATATGTCAATCCCAATCTCCTAATTCACCCCACCCCCCCTTTCCCTGCTTGGTGTCCATTCCACATAAGTGATATTATACAATATTTATTTTTCTCTTTCTGACTTACTTCACTCCGTATGACAGTCTCTAGGTGCATCCATGTCCCTGCAAATGGCACAATTTTGTTCCTTTTTATGGCTGAGTACTATTCCATTGTATATATGTACCACAACTTCTTTATGCATTTCTCTGTTGATGGACATTTAGGTTGCTTCCATGTCCTGGCTATTGTAAATAGTGCTGCAATGAACATTGAGGTGCATGTGTATTTTCAAATTATGGTTTTCTCTGGGTATATGCCCAGGAGTAGGATTGCTGGGTGATATGGTATGTTTACTTGCTTGAGGTTTGCAGAGCCTTTGAATCTCTGGATTGATGTCTTTCATCAATTTTAAATAATTCTTGACTATTATATGTTCATATATTTCTTCTGTTACATTTCTTTCCTGCTTGTCTTTCTGGGACGCTAATAAATAAGTATGTTATACCTATGCCCCATACCCCCAGCATGTCTTATAAGCCCTCTGTATTATGCCTCCTTTTTATCTTTGTGCTTCAGTTAGGTATTTTCTACAGAGCTGTCTTTCAGTTCACAAAATTTTTTTTCAACTGTTTCAATTGCTATTAAATCATTCTATTGAGTTCTTAATTTCAGATATTCTGTTTTTCAGTTCTAGAGTGGCTATTTCATTATTTCTTATGATTTCACTTCTCAGGAGGAAGTCTCCATGATTTAAAGCATTTTTTTCAAAAATTTTCCCCCTATGTTTTCTTTTTTTTTAAGTTAAAAATTGATTATCTATATATTTCTCTGCAGAGAGAGTAGGACATAAGTTATACATGAGCAAAAATTAGTAAGAGAAAACAATATAAAATATAGAAAATCAACAAAGCTAAAAGGTGGTTCTTGGAAATTTCTAGTACATTTTATAACTCCTTGGCATAACTGATCAAGAAACAATGAAAGAAGGCACAGACTTCTAATATCAAGAATAAAAAAAGGGTCCACATTACATGTCATACAGATATTATCAACACAAAATAATATAAATGTATGACATTTATTTTGAACATTTGATGTAATAGAACAGAAAAATAGAAAAAACTAATTGTACAATATCTACAGTTAGCCTTCTCACATAGAAAATCTAGGATTAGATGATTTGCTTTAAGAATTCTACCAACCAATTAAGGAAGAATTTTTGAATCTTAAAGGAATTGTTTGAATATTTCCTTTGAATATTTGAGCAGGAATATTTCCCAACTCAGTTTATGATGCTAGCAAAATTCTAATTCCCAAATCTGACAAATAGATTTGAATAAATGGAAAAAAAATCCTGTTCCATCTCTTTTACAAACATAGATACAAAATCCTAAACAAAATATTGCCAACATTAATCAGTGGTATGTGGAAAGGGAGAAATCACTATCAGTTTGTATTTATTGCAAGAACACACGGTCAGTTTAACATTTAAATATATGACAAAAAAATTTACTGTATTAATATTTGCTTCTTCCTCCCGATGTGGGGACATGCTTATTCATCCTGTCTTTTAAAATAGTTGTAAATTTACATTCCCATATTTCATTATGAATTTCACAATCAAAATACTTTTGCTTATCTTGTTAAAAATCTCAGTCATATAACTGTCCTGATCAATTCTTTCTTGAAAACTATTTCAGTTGCAACAAATATAGGAAAAAAACTGTTAATTTTTCTTCTCCTTTATGTTTTTTGAGTAATATAAAACCAACAATCCACTCACAGTTTTAGTATAAACTCCCAGCCTGAGGTTACATTTCCCAAAAGTCTTTGAAGCTGCATGTGGCAATTTGACTAACTTTTGGCTATTCAAAGATGAGTAGAAGTGATGTGTGCAACATTCTGCTCACACTATTTTAAAAATAAAGTTTATTTCCCTTCACTTTTTCTTTTGCCCTTCTTACAGGCTAGAGCAATGGTTGATATGGCCATAGTGTCAAAGCTGACCATGTTGATGAGGACAATACAAAGGGTAGGGAGAGGGAGTAGGAAAGAAACAAGATAGAATAAACCTAGCCTCTTTCACGGCATTGTAGATCTGAGCAGCCTGCTCACCCTATGTTTTCTTGAACAAATTAATCATAGTTATTTTAAAGTTCTGTCTGCCAACTCCAATATCTGGATCACCTATGGGTCTGTTGTTATTTTCTGTGATTTTTTCTCTTGATATTTGATCATGCATGTCTGTCTTTTGGCATGTCCCATAATTTTTAATAGAGTGCTAGATATTGTATATAATACAGAGACTTTAATAGTGTTATATTCTGCTAGAGAGATTTCATACTTTTTTCTGCAAAGCAGGTAGAAGTCAAAGGAGATCACCTTAATTTAATCATGGCTGTGGCTATTACAGTTTTTCTAGGGCTTAGTTTACCTCTTTTTTGTTCATTTTTATAAAGTATTGTTTTCTGGGGATTTCAACTGTGAGCCTGACATGTTTAACCATCCCCACCCCCATGTTCTGAACTGTAATCTTTAATGACTCTGTGTCTCAGAGTTTTAACTTAGAGTTTTAGTGTCACCTTGCTCCCCACCCCTTTGCAAACATCTTGATAGGGAAACAGACCATGTGTTTTGAGGCTCCTCAAATCTGCAATTTTGTTATGTGGCCCAACAAGACCACAACAAGCTTATTTTCCAGCTCCTTAATGGCAGCCTTCTGCCAGGTCTAAACCCAGATTCTTTCTCTGTTGCCTGTTTATCAGCAAATGTCCCAGGAAAAAAGCATCTGCAGATTGATCGCTAAACTTTCAGAGGTTCTGTCCTCTTCAGAATCTTAGCCCCCGCTTGTCTGTACTGGCAGTTCATAGAGTTGGAAGCATTCATAGCCCTATGAAGACTTTAAAAATAGAATTTTGTTGTATTTTATCTGGATTTATAACAACTCATATTTATAACAAAGAAAAAATATGGATTTTATTTTGTTATATTTTATATGGATTTATTTGGTTAAAATGTGGTCTTATGCAAACTACTCATTCCCTCTAAAGCCAAAGTCATTTCTTGAGCTTGTTAATTTCTACTACTAAACAGTAAAAACTGTAAAACGCTTTTGAACTTATTTCATAATTTCTAATACCATATACATGATAGTAATAAAATTATTATGCAAGTAAATTATTTTTCAGCTTCAATAAATTTAAAAATCACATGAAGTAATAATGATGGCTCAGATGCTCTATATTTGAAGGATTTCACATTTCTACATGATGTGAAACCGTGATTTTTCTGTTTGTGAAAGTGATAGAATCTACCTATTTTCTTTTGAGTGGCTATGTAGCAATAAAACATGAGGAAAAGAGAAGTACCAACTTCAGCATTTAGGGTAGTGAAGCATATAGTTTCAAAGATACAGTATGTGAGAGATGAATTTTTTAGTAGATCAATGTTCCTGAAAAAAAAGAACAAAGAAAGAAATACCTAGCTATTCTTCTAGGTGTTAAATCCTGAAGTATTAAATATGAATATCAAACTCTGAAATAAAAACAGTGAAGTGTATAAAAATGGGAAAATAAATCCTCATCCTTTTTGTATATACAAAGAATGTTACTGCTGGTTATATGGTTTAAATTATTAAATGAATACAAATGGCTAAATTGTATAATAAATCAGAAGGAGTATAATATCACAAGGATTAACTAATTGCTAATTAAATTTTTAGATTATCAGCTTCCTCTAGCTTATTAATTTGCGTCTTCACTGCATATAAGGAATTATGTTTAAGAGAGTGTGGATCATTTTGCTTAGAAAATTTATTAATCCAGGATTGCCACATAATCAATTTAAATAGTTATTGTTAATATATTTCTATTTCATGTATTAATAATTAGTTATTAAATAATACTGTATAATTGACCAAATATCTTATATATTTTTGGTATTACAACCTGCTAGTTATGAATCAGGACAAGAATTGTTTCTGAATTTGACGTTAGAGTATAGCTAATAACTTGCCCCTAATATGTTTAAATAATGTATGCAGATCCATCTTACTTTCGTAGAGGTTCATGTAATCAACCTTTTCCCATTTTAATATCTCATTGATTTAACGTCTTTTACTATATTCCATTTAAAAGTTTTTTAAAATAAATATATGTATATCTCTAGTGACAGAGCCATATTAATGAGCTTATTGTAAATTTATTAATCATGACCTTTGTATTGATAAAAATAAAATAAGTGATATACTTCTTCTTTCAAAATTTTTTTTTTGAATTCACAGGCCTGTGAAATTTCTGATGAACTACCTAACTTGACTAATCGATATGCTGCTTTCTCGTCAAGAACAGAAAGAACTACTAAAGTATCAGATATGGTAAGAAGGCTTTTCTATGACCACATGTATTTGTAATCTAGGAATCATGGAGGAGACTGAATAACATAAGCATTATATTAGGACCTGAGAGAGGTACCTGGTAGCCTGCTGTAATATCTTCAGCCAGTATGCTACTTCCATATTTTTAAAGTTCAATGAAATTCTTGAAGCTAAGCAGAAGTCTAGCATTTCTCTGTGAGAAAAATATTATGTGGAACATCTCCTTAAGGGTCAGAGAGCATTCATTAGGCCATATAGACAAACTCAACTTGTGTTGTATATGAAGTGGAAGGTTTGTTTACTTTAGGTTCAACTCAGTTTCCTCATAAGTGCAAATATTTTCCCTTTTCAGTTTGAATCTATCTTGAGACTTAAGACTTTTCAGTGACATTTTTTATCCCTGTTAATCTGTATTTTAAATTGTGTTGATAAGAATTTTGCTACCTCAATTTCCATTTTTTATAAATAACTAATATTGAATAAATTGAAATAAGTAAAGCGTGTGAAATTTAAAGCTGTATACTTAACTATTTCATTCAGATTAAACTTATTAAAAGATCAAAGTGAAATTTAAAGATAAAAGGTTAGACTTATGTGTACAGGTATTGTTAAAATAAATTTTTATAGAAATTGGACTGTTATTATAAGATATTGTTAGTAACAAATGACCAAAACAGGATCATTAACCAGGTTGTAAAATGTAGCCAGTCAACCGAGAAGCAGAATTGCTGAACTAAAATTCTACTAGGTACACAATGCCAAGAGTTCATTTACAGTGTTTTCAATGGTGAAGTAAATGGTACAAGATTAGGAAGAACTCATGTAAATGAAGTACAAATGCAGTGCTAGTTAAGTTAATATAGCTGTGAATGTCTAGGAACTCATAGGAATTAGATTAATTTGATGAGAGTCATTAAGGAAGGGACTTATTTTTTTTCTGAGGCATTAATTGACTGAATCTGAGAGATGGAGTCAAAATTAGCATCAGGTTCTATGAGACTTTTTGTAGCTATAAGTTCAAAAGATAGTTTAGAATCATCTAGCAGTGTCTTGACATTTAAGAGATTTTCGTAATTGTTAAATAAATGGTTTGTTTTAGTAGATTATTTATTAATCTTGAGGAATTTTAGGGTTGTGTTGTGTTTCTCAAGTGAATCATTGTTATACACACCTTTGGATCCATGGTGAAGTATGTCATAAGTAATTTATTACTAATATAATGCTTTATTTCTCTTGTAATATAGTAGCTACTAGGAAAAAACTGCAAATTTCTGAAGGTACCTATAGGAATGCACATGTATAAGTTACATTTTATGTTTGTAGTGAAAAAAGATGATAGAGATCTGTTCTAAAGGAAGATGAGTTGCCTACCAATTGTTTTTACCTAACTTACATTTTCCTCTTTTATCTTTGTCTCTCACTGCATCTGGAAATTCCTTTTTATTATTTATTTATTTATTATAATTTTTATTGGGGTATAGTTGATTTACAATGTTGTGTTAGTTTCAGGTGTACAGCAAAGTGAGTCTGTTATACATATAGGTATATCCACTCTTTTTTAGATTCTTTTTGCATATAGGCCATTACAGAGTATTGAGTAGAGTTCCCTGTGCTATACAGTAGGTTCTTATTAGTTATCTATTTTATATTTAGTAGTGTATATGTGTCAATCCCAATCTTCCAATTTGTCCCTCCCGTCCCACATACCCTCTGGTAACCATAAGTTTATTTTTTACATCTGTAACTCTATTTCTGCTTTGTAGATAAGTTCATTTGTAGCCTTTTTTTAGATTCTACATATAAGCAATATCATATGATATTTGTCTTTCTCTGTCTGACTTCACTTAGTATGATAATCTCTAGGTCCATCCATGTTGCTGCAGATGGCATTATTTCACTCTTTTATTGGCTGAGTAATATTTCATTGTATATATGTACCACATCTTCTTTATCCATTCCTCTGTTGATGGACATTTAGGTTGCTTCCACATCTTGGCTATTGTGAACAGAGCTGCAGTAAACATTGGGGTGCATGTATCTTTTTGGATTATGGCTTTCTCTGGAGGTATGCCCAGTAGTGGAATTCCTGGATCATATGGTAGCTCTATGTTTAGTTGTTTAAGGAACCTCCATACTGTTCTCCATAGTGGCTGTAGCAGTTTGCATTCCCACCAAAAGTGTAGGAGGGTTCCCTTTTCTCCACACCCTCTCCAGCATTTATTGTTTGTAGATTTTTTGATAGCATTGTCCTTTTTTCCCCTCAAGAAACACTTGCATTTAAAAGGATTGGTTGGTACTCAGCTTACCCAAGAAGCGAAATAGTTTAGTCACATAGAACTCTTTGGTTTTTGAATCCCTTCCATAAATGAGAATACCCTTCAAACATGTGGGTGTATGATATGTATCTAGTGAAAAATTCAAATTATTGATCTCAAACTTTTAAAATAATGGAATTAATTTTATAATTTTCACATCAAATAAAAATATTAGAAAATTTACCTCCTATATATTTACATTTTATATATATGGACATGCTGCAATCTTGAAGGAGGGCATATAGTTGAATTTTCAACATGCTACATAAAAGTTTTACATAAAAATATTTAAAAATCCAGACTTCTGTTTCATGTGAAAGACAGAGCATATATATACATCTCCCTTCTTTTTACAAGGTCCCAATGAAATAACTTTTTTAAAAACTATGATATAAGGATTAGTTGAATATAAAAAGACAAAGAGATTGAAAATATTAATGGAGGCTAGGCACAAGCCAAACATCTGATTATTAGGCATTCCAGGAGCAGAATGCTAGGATGGTAGTTTGCAGTATTTGATGTAAAAAACAGTAAGTTATCTTGAACAGAAGAAAACACATGTCTTCAATTAGAAGAGCTCAACAAAATACCATAGAGGACGAATTTTCAAAGATATGTATTCTTCTCACATTCTTTTGCGTTTTCAGAAGACTAGAAATAAAGAAAATACCCTTGAAGCTTCCACAGAGAAAAGTAACTGGGTCACCTACAATGGGATGAGAAACATACTGATATCAACACTTTCTCAGCAGCATTAGAGACATTTCAAAGCTAGGAAATGGTAGGATAATATTTTCTAAAATTTCTAAGAGGAAATAATTTTGGGTAAAGAATTCTGCCTCTACCCAAAATTTCAATTAAATGAATCAAGAAAATAATTTTCTGACATGCAAGAGCTTGGAAAATTTAGTACCTTCACAACCCCATATGTGAATATGCTCTAGCAAAAAAAAAAAAAAAAAAAGGAAAAACGAAAAAGATGACATAAACATATAAACATAGAGAATAGAAACTCAGCATTTCTGGATGAAGTAGAGAAAAGTGGAAACAAATTAATAAAGAAGGCATTTTTAGTTCATGCTTGGGACATTCTTCAAGAGTCAGGGGTTTTGTGACCACAGAATTTTATTTACTCCTCTATGTGTTTCGCTGCACTAGTTGGTTCAGTGGGGAATAATCATGATATTCTAAATGCTGTTTTAATATTGTTGATTTGAAATCAATCTATACACATTGCAGAAGATTTAATTATAGTACAGCAATATAAATATTAGAAATCTTAATATCATTGATAAAATCAGGAGGTGAAAGGTAGGAGGCAGTGAAATATGGCAATTCTCTTATTTCATAGTGCGGAGTTAACAGATATTGTCAAAAATTGACAAATTACAGTATAAGTCCTTATATTAAATTTGTAATGGTAAATACAAAAAAACCCCACACACCTCAAACTGAAAAAACTCAATTACTATTAAAATAAATTATTTCTGGGACTGGAACCAGGGAGAGGTCAAGGAGGACAATTTTACCATTTATTTTAGACACTTGCATATGATTTGATTTTTATTCATGATGTGAAGATATTATTTTAAAATAAAAGTAAAAATAATACTCCTGAGTTTATGAGGAGCATGCATTTGGAATGGCATTATGACATACTGGTGCCTGTACTGACTCATTCTCTGCAAACAACCAAAATTCTAGGTAAAATAGAAACAAAACATATTCACAAATGCTTCCAAGATTTAGAAAGAGAGGAGTACACAGGCTAAGTTAAGGAGGGACCCAGAGTGGCAAGTAGAGCACTGAAGCCAACTGTCACCCTGAGGACATTTGCCAAACTAGGTGACCTTGAGTTTTAATTTGTATAGCCTCAGAGACCTCCAGAGAATGAAAGAGAGCCTAAGACTCTCACACAGTGATTAGTCTCAAAAAGATTCTTAATACAGTTAAGACTCCAGAGGGCAACCTAGGCAGGTTAGGAGTGAAATGCAAATAAATCTCCCCTTCTTACACACCAAAGGACTTTAAGGAAGATTGTTAGTGTTGAACTTTTTGGTGTTGAATGTGTGTTAGGGGAATCACCCCTGAGATCCTGTTACATTTCACCTTCATTTAATGGTTACAGATATTAATGAAATTAATTTTATTAATAAAAATAAGAGCTAATGCTTATAATGTGCTTGTTCTATGCCAGGGACCATTTCAAATGTGTATTAACTCACCTGAGTACTATAATAATGGCCATCTTTAAAAATGTGGAAACTGAGTTTAAAGTCTTTAAATGGCAGTCAGAATTCACACCGAGGCAGTCCATCAATAGAATCCACTCTTTTAAGGGTCTTTCTGTGTTACTCCCCTTTGGGCTGAAGAATTAGGCTTAACTAAAATAAATATGACAATAAAATAAATACGACAATATAGTAAATAATTTTTGTGATTTAAAACAAAAGGGATATGACTGTAAAGATCTCAGACATTATTATAAGGGATAGAACTTTTTTTTTTGAAATCCAATTTCTGTTTAGCAGAAACTGATGAGGATTCAGCATCATGAAACAGTAGTGAAGTTAATAACTTTCCTCTAGTCATTCAGACCAAAAATTAACTAATGACTATTTAGTGGAAAAATCACTGGAAGAATTTGATGTACTTTCTTATATTGAGGCATGGCTCAGAAAGGGG